CCTTAGGTTGCATTGTAAATGTATCACTTAGTGTTGAGCACCTCATAGTCACTTATTCTCTGCATTTGACCAGTTATGGAACTTTGTAATAGTCTCCATTTGTTGCAAAATGAAGCTTCTTGATGAGTGGTAAGAGGTACATTTGTCTATAAATATAAGGATATGTATTTAGAATACACTAAGAAATTATGTTGGGCACACAACTTTAGTCCCAGCACTCCGGAGGCAGAGGCAGGTGGATCTCTGTGAGTTCAAGGCTAATCTGGTCTACATAGCCAGTTCAGGCCAGCTGGGGTTACAGGGAGACCTTGTCTCAAAAAGATAAAAAAAAAAAAAAAAAAAAAAAGAAAAGAAATTATGTTGGTCTAAGGAAGTGACAGTTTATTCTCTAGGATCTGTGACCTTTCTAGCTATGTGTACTTGGCTATGTTTACAGTACTACACATGAGTTGAGCAGGCATTAAGTCCAATCAGACAGCTATTGATTACCCCCAAGATAAAAGTGCCACTTTTTATTTATTTATTTATTATTTTGTGTATGAGTGTTTTGTCTGCATGTATGTAAGTGCACCTGTGCCTACAATGCCTGCAGAAGCCAAAAGAGCATCAGATCCCCTGAAATGGAGTTATAAATGGTTATTAGCTACCATGTGGGTGGGAAACCGAACTCTGGTCCTCTACAAGAACAGCAAATACCACTGAGCCATCTCTCTAGCCCCTTATTTTTAAAATTAATTAATTAATTAATTAATTAATTGTGTGAGAGATGAACCATATTCCCAAGCCTCAATTTTTAAAAAAAGATTTATTTATTTATTTATTTATTTATTTATTTTTATTTATTTATTTATTTATTTATTTATTTTTGGTCTTTTTGAGACAGGGTCTCCCTGTAGTCCCAGCTGTCCTGGAACTCACTATGTAGACCAGGCTGGCCTTGAACTCACAGCCATCTGCCTGCCTCTGCCTCCTGAGTGCTGGGTCTCCCTTGTCTTTGGAATATTTTTTTCACTTAGATTTCAGGAATCAGAATGTCTTGTAGTTTCTCCTTCCTCACTGGCCATCTGCTTTCCTTTGACTTTGATTTTCTTCCCACTATCCTTTTTGTGGGAATTAGAGTGCCTCAGGGCACCAACCTTCAGGCTAGTCCCCATTTTCCTGTCTCATATAGCTTTAAACATCTTATCTGATGTTATCAAGGTAACACAGTATCCAAGATAGTTTTTAGTATCTCAAACCAGCACTGGCTCACACCTGCAATCCCAGCATTCAGGAGACAGAGGCAGGGGGATCCTGGCAAATATATATAACTGCTTGCTCCACATCTCCAAGTAGACTCTAATATACAACCCAACATGTTTAGAAGTAACCTTTCTCTGGACATACAAAGCTTTCCCTACTTTGGTTGATGGTAGTTTCATCTTTCCAGTTGTTCTGCTTCCAAATCCTGGAGTCATCTTTGATATCATTTCTCTCTCATACTCTATATTCAATTCATAAGAAAAAAGAATCCTGTTTGCCCTACCAATAAATCCAGAACCCAATATACTCCTCCAGTCTGGCCCAAGATGCCATCATCACAACCTTAGATTATCAAAATAGCCTTTTAATAGGTTATGCTACTTTTATCTTGGTCCCCTTAAAGTCTATCCTCAACCTAACAGAAGTGATCTATGCCTCTGCTCAAAATTTAATGACTCCCCATGTCATTCAAAGCAAATGCCAGAGAAGGGGATGGAATTCAGTGGTACAGTATTTTCCTAACAAGACCTTGGATTCAACCAGCACTGACTCACAACTTTAATCCCAGCACTCAGGAGACAGAGGCAAGGGGATCCCGGCAAGTTTGAGGTCAGCTTGGTCTACAAAGCGAATTCTAAGATAACATAGCAAGACTTTGTCTGAAAAATAAAAGTCAAAATTCTTACTTTGTTTTGAAACTGGGTCTCACTATGTAGCCCAAGATGGCCTCAAACTCATGATCTTTCTGCCTCATCCTTCTTAACGTTAGAACCAAGTCTTTACAATGGCCCATAATGCCCTCCATCATCTGGTCACTGCTAGTCTTTATCTTTCTGACTTTTGCTCCTTTTTTTTTTGGTCTTTTTGAGACAGGGTCTCCCTGTAGCCCCAGCTGTCCTGGAACTCACTATGTAGACCAGGCTGGCCTTGAACTCAGAGATCCACCTGCCTCTGCCTCCTGAGTGCTGGGATTAAAGGCGTGCACCACCACGCCCAGCCCCTGCTCTTTTTAATTTATATAATTTGTTTTTTATCTGTATGAGTGTTTTGCCTGCATGTATGTAAGTGCACCTATGCATTCAGTACCCATGGAGGTCAGAAGAGGGCATCAGATCCCTGGAACTGGAGTTTCAGAAAGTTGTTAGCCACCACATGAGTGGATGCTAGGAGCCAAACCCAGGTCCTCTGCAAGAACAGCCAGTCTCTTAACCACTGAGCTATCCCTCCATTCCCCCTGACTTTATCTCTTACTACCCTTGCCCTCCCTCACTTTTCTCACTATATTAGCTTTAACTTTCCCTCAAATACTCCAGGATTTTTTTTTTTTTTGAGACAGGGTCTTGTGTAGCCTAACCTGGCCTTAAACTCCATGAATAGCTAAGGTTGGCCTTGAACTACTGATCCTCCTGCCTTCTGTGTGCTTGGATTCCAGATGTTCACCATCACACTCTGATATTTTTTTACTTACAGAGTACATAGCCCCAGCTGTCCTGGAACTCACTATGTAGACCAGGCTGGCCTTGACCTCACAGAGTTCTGCTTGCCTCCTGAGTACTGGGATTAGAGGCATGTACCACCATGCCTAGCTAACATACATTGTAATTTTCTGTTTATTTCTCATATTAATTTCTAGTGTTTCCTTCTCTTCTAGAATGGAAGCTTTCCCTAGGCAAGAATCTGTTCCTTGATGTATCTCCGCTGTTTAGTACAATACCTACCAGAGTAAGCACTCAGTAAATATTTGTTGAATGGATGAATGAATAAAAATGTGAATAATACCTATTGTGAGAGATAAATAACAAAGTTCCTAAAACACAATGGTCACCCAGCAAATGTTAGGTCCTTACATCCATTCTCCAAATACCTTCCCTAGTTGCCTGCTGTTACAACAGCATTCTTTCCATCCTCTCTTGAATTATTTATTGGTTTATCTGCTTGTTTTTGAAATAAGGATCTCAATTTGTTACCCTGGTTGATCTTGAATGCCTGAGTGCAAGCCATCCCACTAGTATGTACCGGCCACCCCTGTTTTGTGTGCCATCAGGAACCACTAGTTCCTATGCAAATCTACTTCATATGCAGATCTAGCAGAGCTCTCTCTCTCTCTCTTCCATGGTACTGGGGATCAAACCCAGGGCCTCATACATGCTGTAAGCACTCTACTAACGAACTAACGTCCCAGTCCTTAGTCTCTCCCTTGAGTTTCAATTTAGGAAAATCTTACTAAAGGTCCCAGATTTCATCTAAGAAAAGGAAGCCTGGAGGCCAGCTTTACCCATTACCACAGCTGCTTATCAAGTTGTCCTCCAGAGAATAGAGAGGCCTGATGGACAGGGAAATGTATTTGTGGTTGTAGTTGACAGTTTGTTGCAATGATTTTCATAATCAACATTCCTGGATCTTCACATGTACTACATATTTCCAGGTATTATTTGATGAATTTTTGTTGTTTTGTTTTAAGACAGGCTACATAAACCAGGCTGGTCTTGAACTCAGAGATCCACCTGTCTCTGCTGGGATTAAAGGCAAAGTCATGGGCCACCCACACCCCTCTGTTTGATGAGTTTTGAAAAATGATTTGCTTTGAGATGAAGGGTATTAACATCACTTAGGACTATGTCCAAGGATTTAACAGAGAGATCCGGATTTAACAGAGAGATCCAGATTATGAAAAGCACTTCAGGGGTTTTGAGAAAAAACCAAATAGTGACAAGTGGAAACACAAAGAGTGGGCCTGAGATTGGTCCTGGGGTCTCAAAGCATCTGGATCTGCAGCTGAGATGCCTGACAACTTCAAGGCATCATGTGGCCAGACACATTTCAGAGGCGGAAGCAGGGGAATTGATAGGGAATTCAGCCTGGATTGGCTACACAGAAAATCTGAAGTCAGCCCAGGCTATGTACTGAAACACTGTCTCAGAAAAAACAAAAACAAAGTGTGTGGGTGGCAATACGAGATCGAAATGGGGTGGAGGGAGAACCTAAGGAACGAACCAGCTGCCTATCTAGCCACTTTCACCTCTGTTTGGGGCAGGAAGTGACACCTGAGGAAGCTGTGGCTCCCTGCCCTGCAATCTCTTTGCCACCAACCACGCCTCACATCTCCACCCAGTGATAAGTGACACTCCAGCCCCGGTCAGCCAGGCTTTTTCTCTGCCAAGGCACTCGCCTGGCCTTACAGCCTCTTTAGCCCTAGTTAGAAACTGAATTAGGAACCACAACAGACACAGCACGGCAGACTGGAAAAGCAAAAGCACTGCACTAGGTCTGCCTTCCCCTTCAGGTCTGCCATCCTCTGGCTCCTCAGGTCCCTTGGGCTCTTGGCCTCAGAGGCACAAATTATTCAAGTTGCCTACCAACGAGGCCTGATCGCCCGCCCCTACCGGGCTGAAACCCTCAGGGGGTTTCAGGTTCAGCTTTCACTTAGAGACGGTGATTCTGAGTTCAGGGTCAGCGGGGCGATTAAGGCAGAACTAGGGATTCTGGGTGAGGGGTTGGATCCTGGAAGCAGACCCTTTCTTCCCAGAACTGAGTAGCCCTTTGGAAAGCCCAGTACTTGGGAAAACCCAATACCGTCTATGCCAAACCAGGAAGAAACCGCCGGGGTCCCGGCGGACAGCGGGGGAGAGCAAAGTACCGCCCACGTGGCTGGGAAAACTCTGGTTGGCACTGGCTGGGGTGGTGCCGGGGGCGGGGTGCTGGCGGAGGGAGGGGCAGACCTGGGCTGTGGGCGTGCCAGCCCAGCTTTTCACAGCAGAGGTGGAGGAGGTCGCCCTGGCCTGTGGTCCCCATTCTGCTTGCAGCGCCTTCGCCACCATGGAGGGGTCTTGGGAACCTCTGAGTGGGAAGGTGCGACTCTGTTTCACCCCTGCTGCTCGGACCAGCCTCTTATTGCTCAGGCTCAACGACGCGGCGGTTCGGGCACTGCAAGAGTGTCAGCGGCAACAGGTGCGGCTGGCCCCCAGCCCCTCTCTCCCAACCCTACCATCCGGACCTCTGGTCTCAGTCGGCTACACGGGAGGAGGGACTTGGGAGGAGCGGCTTCTGCAGGTTCTAGCCTCCCTACCCCCCAACCTCTCCAAGTGAAGCCCGCAAGGCAGGTGTCCCCGAACCCCCTCGGACAACCGATCTTAGGGACTTGGCTTCATCTTTGCTCAGCTGATGCTTGGGCTCTTCCCGCAGGTTCGGCCAAAGATCGCTTTTCAAGGCCAACGAGGGGTAAGTGCAGGACTGATGTATGAGGATGGGGCAAGGAAGCATAAACTTAGACTCCCGGAAGGCGCGCTCTGGGGCGGCGGGGCGGGGCGGGGTGCCAGTGGTCACGGTCTGAGGAAGCTATGAGAACTGAACCCTAAGTGGGGGTGAGGGGACTGCTGGGGTTGTGATCTCAGGGGACTGTGTCTCAGTCTCTTGGGGGAACTCTGACCCAGCTGTACCTGCTGTGCTAACGAGCCCCTTGGGATCCATCTTCAGGCCCTGGTTTGGGGAGGGATGGCATGGGCAGAAGTGGGAGGGACAGACTTAATGGGGCTTACCATCTCCTTCCACCATAGTATCTAAGGTTCCCAGGCTGGTCCTGTCTCTTCTCCTTCACAATATCCCAGTGTTGCCAAGAGGGCACTAGTGGTGGCTTGGACCTTGTGTACCAATGCTTAAGCAGGTAAGAGAGAACAGGCAACAGGAAAGTTTGTAGAAAGTGGGGAAGGGGAACGTGAAGATGTGTTAGAAAGCTCTCCAACCTGTTTTTGTTGTCTTTTTCCCCCATTACTTCTTTCCAGATCTGGGCCTAACTGTCTCCACTGCCTGGGCTCACTCAGGGAGCGCCTTACTGTTTGGGCAGCCATGGATACTATTCCAGTCCCACTGTCAGCTCAGGGACACAACCTGACTGAAGATGCCAGGGAGTCTGAGAGTTGGAGGAACACAGGAGACTATTCTGAAGGTGATGAAGTATCACAGCCCCAAGTGGCACTAGAAGAGGTGAGACTAGAGACTGCTGGGTATTATGAGGCCTGACAAATCCTGAAGTTTAGGGAGCCAAATGTGCTTACCACCTTTCCTGACAGGTGTCTGAGCCACTGGCAAGCAACCATGGACAGTCCCTCCCAGGATCTTCCAGTGAGCCCATGGCACAATGGCAAATGAGGTACTTGGGAGTGTGGGTCTGATTTCCAACCTTAAATGCTGTAATAAAACATCAAAGCACATCTCTTACCCTGGTCATTTCTCCCATTCCTTCTTCAAAAAATCCTAGGAACAACACTTATCTTCCAAACAGAGATCCTGACCAGCCACTACCTTCTCCTGCCAGCCAGAAACACCTGGACAAGGTAATCCATAATGACACCAGCTTTTGAAACAGCAATTTTTCTTTTCTTTTCTTTCTTCTTTTTTTTTTTTTTTTTTTTTTTTTTTTTTTTAGACAAAGTGTTCCTTTGTAAGCTAAGCTGGCCTGGAACTATGTAGACCAGGCTGGCCTGGAACTCACAGAGATCCTCCTGCTTTGCTTCCTGAGTGCTGAATTAAAGGCATGCACCACCATGCCTGGCTCAAAGAGCAGTTTTAAGGTCTGTGAACGTAGCTTGGTTAGTAGGGAACCACATAAAACCTGGCACGTGCTGTAATCTCAAGAGGGCTCCAGAGGAAGGATTAGTTTGCACAGTGGTTTGAGGTTGCCTTTTTTTCTTTTTTTTTTTTTCGGTCTTTTTGAGACAGGGTCTCCCTGTAGCCCCAGCTGGCCTGGAAACCTAATAGACCAGGCTGGCCTTGAACTCAAGAGATTCGCCTGCCTCTGCCTCCTGAGTGCTAGGATTAAAGACGTGCCACCATGACTGCTATACAACCCCCATTTCAGATTGAGATGGCTTCCTGTGGGAGTGTTTGCTGTGTTGGAATCCCCAGCACCTATGTAAAAGCTGAGCATGGCTGCAACTGCCTATAACCCCAGTGCTGGAGGGGTGGAGACCGGTGGATCCTAGGAGCTTGCTGGCCAGCCAGTCTAGATGTAACAGAGAATAGGAGAGCAACAAAGGACACCCAAAGTCCCAACAGGCACATGCATACACCACACACTAGTACCTTTAATCAGGCTGAAACAAAATTGGGGCACTAGAGAGATGGCTCAGCAGTTGAGTATGGGCTGCTCTTGCAGAGGACCCAGGTTCGATTCCCAGCACCCACAACTGTAACTCCAGTTCCAGTGGAATCTAATGCCTTCTTCTGACTCCTTAGGCATTGTACAACACATGGGTGCACTTATACACGGAGAAAATACACATCAAATAAAAATATTTTTTAAAAATCTTCTAAAATTTAAAATTGGGAGCTGATTATATAGCAGAGTTTTGATTTGAGACAGGGTCTCCCTGTAGCCCCAGCTAGCCTGGAACTCACTATGTAGACCAGGCTGGCCTCCATCTCACAAGAGATCTGCCTGCCTGTCTCTAAGTGCTGGGATTAAAGGTGTTGTCCACCACACCAAGTTTATAACAGCATTTTTGACAAAAGAGAACAAGAACTCCCTGGCTTGTCATTTATGCTACACAGATGTTTTCCTCACAGAAACGACCAGCGCCTATAGCCACTAAAGAACCAGAAGAAAAGAGGCTCAGAGCTCTGCCTCCAAGTCCTATACAAGGGCTATCAGATCAAGACTTACAAGAGGGAGAAAACTGGGAGCAGGAAGATGAAGATGAAGAGACTGACTCCAGGCTGGAGCACAGTCTCTCAGTTCAAGCAGGTGGTGAGTTGAATAGAGGAGGGTTAAAAATGCCACAGTGAAAAAAAGACCTGTAATTGTTTTCTTGCTTTCTTCCCAGCCTCCGAATCCCCAAGCCCTGAAGAGGTGCCAGATTACTTCCTGTGAGTTCCCCACATTGCAATTTCATAAAGCTTGTACATATAAGCTCCCCAGAAGCCAAGAGCTTTTAGAGGCAATGAAACTGAAGATGACAAACTTCCCTGGCAGGCAATACAGGGCCATCAACAGTGCAGAGCAACAACAAGCCTATGAGCAGGACTTTGAGACAGATTATGCTGAATACCGCATCCTTCATGCCCGTGTCGGGGCTGCAAGCCAAAGGTTCATAGAGCTGGGAGCAGAGATCAAAAGACTTCAGCGAGGAACTCCAGAACACAAGGTAAGGACAAAACTTCATCTGGCTTTTTTTTAGCCTTATTGGCCATAATCTTTCTGCCAGCTACCTCAAAACGTGTTTAATGACTAAGCAGAGGGACAAGCAAACCTGTTGTGGCAGAAAAAATGAGTTTGTACTATCTGGTAGAATTAAAAACAGAAGTTTTCTTTCTCTTGTTCCCCCTCCCTTCCAATTTTGAATCAGTGTTTACTTTCTGTTTCAGTTGCTGGAAGAAAAGATAGTCCAGGAGTATAAAAAATTCAGAAAGGTAAGACAAGTTGTGAGCACAGAATCACTAAGGTAGCAGTTTTACTTTTTGATATGGATGCTTTTTCTCTGCAGCGGTATCCAGGTTACAGGGAAGAGAAGCATCGCTGTGAGTACCTGCATCAGAAATTGTCCCACATTAAAGGTCTCATCCTGGAATTCGAGGAAAAGAACAGGGGCAGCTGAAGCTATTGAGCCTCTGCCCAGAGATGAACAAAGTGGCTGTAAACTGGAGTACATCTGCTTTTCCAATTTTGACCACTTAAGTCCATGGTGGCATGTAGACAGCTGTGCTAGATTCTTCAGTTTGATTTTTGTTGTTGCCTTTAATTTTTTAGGGTGCGGGCACAGTATCCTTAGCTGTGCCCAGGATAGAATAGCAGGGGCTTGGGTTCACCCAAGTAATATTCAAATTCTGAGGAATGCCGTATTTCCAGGTTAAGACACATCTTGAGAATATTAAACAAATAAGTGAATTTAGTGTAGTAGCCTTGCAAAGGGAAAAATGAGAACTTCCAGTGACAGAGCTAATTGGAACTTACAGCAAAATTGTCTAATGGGAAGGGGCTTGGGTTTTACTCATACACTAAAAATTAATCTTTCTACAAACATGGATAAAAAAATTAAAACCACCTGCTTCTGTTTATTATTTTTATGTGTACAAGTGTATTGCCTGCATATATGTGAATGCACCCATGTTGTGCAATGCTTCAGAGGTCAGAAGAGGGCTTTGGATTCCCCTGGAACTGGAGTTAGGGACGGTTCATAGCCACCATGTGGGTGCTGGGAATTGAACCTGGGTCTTCTGCAAAAGCAGTCAGTACTCTTAACTGCTGAGCCATATCTCCAGCCCCATTCTGTGTTTTTTTTTAAGTTAATATTATCCTATATTGTTCAAGGTGGTGCTGTACATCCAAACTACCTTTGGCTCTCCCTGCAAAATTTACATCCCATGAACCATCAAGATTGTGGTCTAGATATCTTTTTTTTTCAATTTTAAAAACAGTGTTGGGAATTGAACCCCAGTGCTCAGAGACTGGATAAGTGCTCTACTGCTAAACACTACCATCCCTAACATTTTTTTTTTTTTTTTTTTTTTTTTTTTTTTGTCTTTTTGAGTCAGGGTCTCCCTGTAGCCCCAGTTGGCCTCAGAGATCCGCCTGCCTCTGCCTCCCAAGTGCTGAGACTAAAGGCATGCACCACATCTGGCCTCTAACATCCTTCTTTAAAATGACAATAGGGGCTACAGAGATAGCTCAGAGGTTAAGAGAACAGGCTGGTCTTGCAGAGGACCCAGGTTCGAATCCCAGCACCCCCACAGCAGCTAACAACCATTTGTAACTCCAGTTCCAGGGGAATCTGATGCCCTTTTCTAACCTCTTGAGGGCACTGGAATATGGGTTCTATCAAGAATTATCCAGGGTTGAAAACAATTATAGATGAGACTTTGATTTAGTTAGAGGGAAATAATTCATTTGCATTGAAGCAGATCAGTGTTGTAAACAAAGTAGACGCTCCACTCACTTGGAATGATACCTGTAGCCTTTCCCTGTTCCACTGGAGAGGAAAGTTAATGGGCCACACCCTAGGCTTTGTGCACCCAGCAGTGTTAGCAATTCCTCCAACAAGTTGGATGGAACCCCAACTTGATGCCACACCCACACAGGGCATTTCTAGGCAGAGACAATCCTCAGGAGGTATAAGCATGCAGGAAGCCTCGCCACATGGCAAGAACCTATCTTTAGGGCATGAACTGGACCAGAAACAGCCTAACAGGAAAGTCTTTCATCTCTTCTACCCACTAGGCTGAAAGATATAGGAAACCAAGCCTGGCAGTTTACATCTGTAATCTCAATACACGGAAAGCTGACGTGAGCGGATTGCCCTAAATTCAAGGCCAGCCTGGAAAGAGATAATCCAAAAAAAGAAAAAAAGAGATGGTAACTACAGACCCCTCAGTCACACTGAAGCTACACAGTATAGTAGCAATTGAGTTTTTTTTTTCAAGACAAGGTCTCATATAGCTCATGCTAACCTCAGACTTTCTATGTAGCGAAGGATGACTGTGAACTTTGGATCTCAATTGTTGGGATTACAGGTGTGTGCCATCATGCTTAGTTTAGTTGCATGTACTTTTTTTCGGTCTTTTTGAGACAGGGTCTCCCTGTAGCTCCAGCTGGCCTAGAACTCATAGAGATCTGCCTGCTTCTACCTCCCAAGCACTGGGATTAAAGGCATGCACCACCACACCTGGCTTAGTTGCATGTATTAAACAAACAAGACAAATCACAGAACATTTCTATCTCTGCAGAAAGTTCTACTGGATAGTAACAGTCTAGAAAACCTGATTCTCCATTCCAAGGCAGGGGGCAGGGGAAAAAAACAGTTTAAAGGGGGCTTATTTATTGTCACTGTTCCAAATGTACAAAAAATGAGAAAATAACCCCCCAACTCAATTCCCCCCACCCCCACAACATTCTTCCCAACAAATAATTTTCCCCCAAACCACAAACAAACTGGTACTGGTATTTCCATAAACAGTGCAGCTAAGAAACAGTTTAGAGAAAATTTAACAGGATTCAGATTATATCCAATTCTGTCTTCTCCAATGGTTTTCCCATCTCTGGTATAAGAGTCCTTTCACAAAGTGGTACGTTTGGATGTTGCTTTAGAGATCCTCTTGTGCCTTCTTCTTCTTCTTAGGTTTTTCTTCTTGAATTACAGGTGGGTTTGTAGCTTCTCGCTGTAGATAGCTAATAAAGTCATTTAACTCACGGCCACCCTGAAAATACAAAGATTGTATAGAAAATTTAACTTATTTTTTAATTTATTATTTTCATTTTATTTTTTATATATGAATGTATTGCCTGCATGTATGTAAGTGCACCCATGTCCTGCAATGCCCACAGAGGTCAGAAGAGGGTGTCAGATCCCTTGGAACTGGAGTACAGACAGCTGTTAGCTGCAGTATAGGTGCTGGGAACTGAACCCAGCCAGTGCTCTTAACCACTGAGCCACCTCTCCAAACCCCCAGAAATTTAGCTTTTTTTTTTTTAGAGCTGATCTTTTGTACATATAAAATTTGCCTCAGAGGTCAGAAGAGGGCTTCAGAATCCCCAAGGAACTGGAATTAAGGACAGTTTGTAGCTGCCATATGGGTGTTGGGAATAAAACCTGGATCCTCTGCAAGAGCAGTCAGTGCTCTTAACCACTGAGACATTGCTCCAGCCACAGAAATTTAGCTTTTTAAAGAACTAAAGTTAGGGTCTACGAATCAGCTCAGTGGATAAGGGCACCTGCCAAGCCTGATGACAAGTATGATATGCGTTTGATTCCAGGATCCACACGATGGAAGCAGAGAATGCCCAAAATTGTCCTGAACTCCACATGTGCTCCAAATCAATGCACATAAAATATTAAAAGAGAGATAGAAAAGAACAAACCTTGGTTATTTTTTCCTTACTAGGAAGATTTTTAAGCTTGCAAAACCACATTAGCAACCACACATACTGACCATGAGAGTTGAAGCAATTTCCAGTTAAACAGGTCAGAAAGAGAAGAGGTATCTACATGAGTGTGCTTGTATATGTGCCTATGTACATATTTTGGGGAAATGGGACAATGTACTTACTTCATACTTCTTTGGACTTAGCTTCTTGTTGGCTGGTGAGAAGTAGATGGTAGGAAAACTAAGGAAAGAAAGAAAAAGCATAATAATTTCAGGTACCAGAGTGATTCAAATACTTCCCCGGCAACTTTCTGAGAATCACTTCTGTCTGTGGTTTCTAATCTGATCAGTAAATTCTCCATCAGTGGCTAAATTATCTTTCTGACTTATGAGAGTTCACAAACTTCCTGGCAGTCATGTGAGGGTCACCCATTGCAGAATTCTAAGTTTCCCAAGCTAAATATGAAGAACCTTAAAACTGACACCTAAAAATATAACACCTTAAAACCAATGGTGTCCTGATGGCTTATACCTATAATTCCAACTACTCGTGAGACTGAGGCTAGGTGAGCCTGAACTCAGGAGTTTGAAGCCAGCCTGGGCAAAACAGTAAACTCCATCTCTAAACAAATAAATAGCACTTTTTCATTAACTTACCCTCTGACTTCATATGGAGAAGGCACATCATTGGCTGTGGCATCCATCTTTGCTATGACAATATTTGGATCTTTGCTGAGCTGTTAATAAAAAAAGGTTAGCCCTTTAAAAACATCTTCAGCAACAAAGAACCAGATATAGTACTGAATCCCAGCACTTGGAGGCTAAGGCAGGGGTATTTCCACAATTTCTAGTCCAGTATGAGCAGTGTGGAACCCTGCCTCAAACAAACAAAAACTTTAAAAAGCTAGGCACTGATGGCACATACCCATGATCTCAGGACTTGGAGGTAGAGTCAGGACTGTCAAAAGTTCAAGGCCAGCTTGTCTACACAGAGCTCCAGGCCAGGGCTATGTGGTGAAATCCTCTCTCAAAATGCTCAAACGTCTACCCCCCCCCCAAAAAAACCCCTTTCTTTCAAGTTAGACATGGTAACATATGCCTATAATCCCAACATTAGGGAAGTTAATAGGAAGATCAGGAATTCAAAACCAGTCTTAGCTACAAACCAAGTTTCAGGCCAGTCAAGGTTACAGGAGAACCTATCTTAAAAAAAGATACCCAGGCTCAAATCTCAGCACCCACATGACAGCTAACAACTGTCCATAACTCCAGTTCCAGGGGATCCCGTGACCTCTTCTGTCCTCCACAGGCATTGCATGACATGGGTGCACTTACATACATGCAGGCAATACATGCATACACATTTAAAAAAAAAAAAAATTCAGATGTGATGGCCTATGCCTTTAATCCCAGCATTTGGGAGGCAGAGGCAGGTGATCAGGCCAGCCGGGGCTACAGAAGGACCAGACCCTGTCTCAAAAAAGACCAAAAAAAAAAAAAAACCGGCTGGATAGCACACACCTTTAATCCCAGAGGCAGAGGCAGGTTAATCTTTGTGAGTTTGAGGCCAGCCAGAGCTACACACTGAGATTGCCTCAAACAAACCAGAAACAGCGAAAAAATCCTAAAACAAACCATCAAGCTTTCAGTGGCAGGCACACTAAGACAATTTCAGGCATTACCTGGATAAATTTCCAAGTTTTTCCTTACATGGGAAGAATACAGATAGTCTGTGACTGCTCAGCTTCTTTCTATTGTTTTCTATTGATTCCTATGTAATAGGACTATGTATGGAGGCTGGAATTGGTGGGACGTGCTTTTAATCCCAATACTGGAGAGGCAGATCTATGTGAGGTCAGTCTAGTCTACTTAGTAAGTTCTAGGCTAGCCAGTGCTATAAGGGGAGATCTTGTCTCAAAACAAACAAACAAAAAAACCCCAAAGAAATAGACTACATATGAAGCTGGAAAGCTGGCTCAAGGGTTAAGAGCACTTGCCACTCTTATTCTGGCCTCTCATGAGACCTCTTACAGGAGACCCTGCCTCAAAAGCAACCACAAAACAAAGACTATATATGCCACCATTTAATTTACAAAGGTTAAGTCAATTTTTTTTTTTTTTTTTAAGACAGGGTCTCCCTGTAACAGCCCCAGCTGGCCTGGAACTCACTATGTAGACCAGGCTGGCTTTGAACTCAGAGATCCACATGCCCCTGCCTCCTGAGTGCTGGGATAAAAGGCATGCACCACCACA